GGTGGCTCACAACCATCTGTAATAGAATCTGATGCCCTCTTCTGGTGTGTCTGAAGACAACTACAGTGTACTCATACATAAAATAAATAATTCTAGAAATAGAATGAAAAAAACAGCACATCTGTAATCCAACACACACAAAGCTAACGTCAAAGTTTGTTTATTTACAGTTCTTTCTTTTATGACTCATAAGTTCAACACATCATTAAAAATTTCTCCTGTTTATTTAAATGACAGTAGTCATGATGTGCTTACTTTTTTTTTTTAAAGATATTATGCCAATCAATTGAAAATAGTTGAGTCAGGCACCTTAGCTAATGTCAAAAACATTTCAGAGATGTGAAGCTACCATATGCACTTAAAGGAATACAGGACAAAGGCCTAATAAACTTGTAGAGTTGACAGGGTCACACTATGATCCAACTCTGTAGATTTCAAGCTCTCATTCACTTTTAAATCTGTAATGCTGTTCTCTTCAAAAGGCAAAAGCATAGATCAAGGATTGTCACTCCTGAAGTAGAAAATTCCAGCTTCCTATTGACACACAAATATTCCAAGGAGATAAAAGTTTTGACAGCATTTTGCTGACTAAGGAGACAGTCATGCACAAGAACAGAAACATGGAATTCTACACCTGGGACCAGAGGAGATCAAGAGTTTCAGTGAACTCCTGTCTGATTCTGTGTGGGGCTGTGGAATCCTGGGTGTTCGGCCACACCCCCAGAACCCAGAGACCTAACATACCTAAAGCCCCGCCCTTCTCTCCTGCTTCCAATATAAGCAAACCCCTTCCGACATTTCTTGGGAGAGTTTTTTCACCATCTGAACCCACCATCATGCCAAAATCTGTCCACGTGCCCCTTTTAACTCTGGACTCTTTGTGTAAGTCAAGACTCCTATGTGCCCCTGTCCGCATGGGGTAGGGGAGGGAGAAAAGCCTTTTCCGCCCACCCCGGTGCTCTCTGAACTCCAGCCGTGGGACACTTTCTCCTGACAACAGAGGCCCGTGCACTGCCTCCCTGGGGCCGCTGGCCTGTGTCGTGTCCCACATGCCTGGCGTCTGAGCTCCCCATGCGGTTGCCAAGGAACTGTGTGCAGGTGAGACCGAATAGTCAACACAGAATGCTGAGAGCCGAGGGTCCCAGGATGGCACTCGGTTCATTGGTTCATCCCGTCCGCTCCTGCCTGCCTGGCCGCCCATGCCCCCACTCGAACATTGCCCAACAATCCTGTACTAACTAAGATTGAAGAGAAAACCACAGCTGCGTAGCTACAGGACATCCCCAGCAGCACAGATTGAGCCTGTGGTAGCAGTGAACTTGACACAGCTTAGGACAGGAACTGCTGCTAAGAATTCTGCATCAGCTACAATTTCTGCTTGTGTCTCTCCATCCCTCTGACTCTCAGTTCCTTTGTATCTCTTAGGATTTAGCAGTTCACAAATCCACAGAAAGAGCAGATTTCTTGCTCTTGAGAGGACAGTCTGTGAGGAGGAAATCTGTGGCTGGCCTCCTCATCTTTCTCTTTCCCATCAATGTTTTCCTGATCAAAAACTGGTAGGAAAGTTGTAAGTTGTATTAGAAAGAGGGCAGGCCACACTGAGGAAGAGAAGTTTTTTATCAGCAATTCAAAATGAAAATCTGCAGCATTATTATTCTTAGTCATATCATTTTTATTTTTTAAACATCCATAAAGGATTTCACATGTCAGCATATTTTCTTCTAAGCTGTATATGAAATTCATAGCAATGAAAACAATAGTAGAAAGTGAAGTTATTGCAAGATTAAATCAATGCACATTAATTTTATTAAAAATTGTGTTTTCATTTTAAAAGCCTTAGACTAAAGGGAGATTTCCTATTCTGAAATATGTGTTTGTTTCATGGCAGGGCATAGATCCTCATAGGACATTTTATGCACTCACACACATACACACACACACACACCAAAGAAATACTTTTCATGCATACAGACCACTTTCGTTCAAATAGTGACTTAGTTATATTCACAGTATACTTTGGAGAATTAATAGAAGAGTTAATTTGAAAAAGTATAAAACATGTATTTCCATGGTTAAGAAATCTGGTATAAGGGCTCTTTTAATTTTCAATGAATAGCAAATTGGACTAAATTTGTAAGAGATTTTTTTATTGTCATGTAAATACATAGAGACAGGAAGTAAACAGGATGAAAAAAAGTAATATTCTCAGTGAATTCTCTCATGAGAGGAGGTTGCAGATCAACTAGAACCAGTGTTGCAGAATGTCATGAACCACCCAGTAAGTGTGAGTGCTGTAACTGAGCCAGTGTCCTCTGGAGAAGCAGTAGTTGCTGTTTGTCTCCGAGCCACCACTCCAGAATAATAGAACATACATTGAATAGAAGAAGATTCCCTTGAAATAATGTAAAATACTGTTATTTTTAGATGCATGTCCCAACACTGCTTAGATTCACAACAAGAAATGTGCTCTGGGCCTTCCCAAGTTTTTATTTAGTGATGCAGAATGGGTAAATGAGTACTTTTGATTTCTTGAGGACTTAGAGATCTTACTAGGTTTGTTTTTATAGTTTAGTTGGAAAAACTATCTGTCATTCATATACGATGAAACTGTTTATCCCTTGTCCTTCAGGAAACAGTGCTTGAATATACTGTTGCTAATACAACTTTGGTATCAATTTTGAAATAAGTCATTTGTACATAGATTTCTTCTTGCAGTACTTTCACTATGTTAATAATGTCAATATTTCTCTCAATATTTGTTTGTCAAAAGATGTCTTATTGTTTTTGTTGGTAAATCTCATTAGTTGGTTTTCAAATTATTTTTATTAGGTTCACCTGAAAAACCCATGGGTTCCCATAGAAGTTGCTTCCACATTCTTTCTTCCCCACCTCTTCAATTACTTTCTGATTCCTTCACCTCAAAACACAAGGCCAAGTATATTCTGCACAGCTGAGCCTTGGATGTTTCCAGATACTCATAGTTGTGCCCAAACTCATTCCTTCAACAAAACATTCTTCTCAAACATGCCTACAAGTGGTCACGTCCTCCTTTTATTCATCTGGTACTAAAACCACATACGGGATCAGTCTCTCTGCATCATCTCATCTGACTGGTCTGGTTTGTTTGTTGCTGGCTTCTGCCAGGCAACAAGTTTGACTCCAAATTTTACAGTGTCACTCTTCTCCCCCTGTTTTAATAATTCATTTCTGGTCTTCTATTTTTGTAAGCACCTCACTGGTTACTGAAGCCTGCTTCACCTCTTGGAAAAACATCAAACATCTCTCTCTGGCTTCTGGATCCTGCCACAGCCTCTAGGGTCCTGAACAAAGGGACAAGTTAGACAGTTACTTGTCTCCCTGTGTTGGAAACCTCTTCTTCCACAGAAGTGTCTTCCAGTCCATCTTTTTAATAGAGTTCTCCTCTACCTGCTCTGACTGCTGGTCTCTTCTCCTCTAGTGTTAAGTATCGATTCAGAACTTCCTATTCTCCTTACTAGTACTACCAAAGCCACACTGGCATACCAGGAACCCTTGTAGTCCTGCCCATTTAACATGAATAGAGACGACACTCCTCTGTGACTTGTGACACTTCTCTCCTACAAGTCTCTTACTCTTCTTGGGGCTGCCCTAGATATAAATTCTAGACATCATGTCACTTATATTTCTCAAATCTTTTTCTCAGCTAATTCATGGAGCTTTGACTTCCTTCCTTCTAGGAGCTGGAGCCCTGCAGCTTCCTTCTGCCCTCTTGGACAAGTGACTATTTCCTTGCCTCTTCCTCCTCTTCCTCAGAGCTACCTGATTCATCTTCACCTGAGCCTAAGTATTAAAACCCTGTGCTCTACATCTCTTGCTACAAATTGTCTGCTATGGGCCATATTTTCTCAGTGCCCTCCTAGACTTCTAGTATAAGGGAATCATCACTGGGTTGGAGGTTGTTTATTTTTCTAAACTGTTCCCTCTCAGCTCCATTTAGAAGCCCAAGAGATTCCTTAGATGACCTTAAACTTTATTTCTACCCTTACCTCACCCACTTCTCACAGCTGTTTTGTCTCTTCCTTTATGCCCTTGTGGTCACGGTATGACTATCTCTTCCTCCCTGGAATCAGAAGATCCTAAAACCTCACTTTCTTTGATAAAACACTTGGCCTAATCACAGCTCACTTAAAGGCTCTGGACACCATACTCGGTTATCTCCCTTTAAGGAAGCCACTATGAATAGAGTGAACATCATTATTGAAGCTGATTTTTGTTGTGGGAGAGTGCAGTTATATTTGGTTCTATTGTATCATTCTGGCTTATCTTGCTTCTAGTTTCTGGTCAACCAGTCAGTGTAAGTTACAGCCTCCTTCTTCTTTCATGTGCCTCCAATTAAACCAGTCACTAATTGGCTACCACCACAAGTGTGCTACTATTGACCCAGCACATCTTGCAAGGAGGAAACATTATAGGCTGAAGGTTTTATTCCAGGATTGTTTTCCCCTCCCTTCACTTCTCCATAAATTTCCCAACCTACCATGGCAACAAGATTCACTCCTCTCCCATCCCCTTCAAAAAAATAGCAAGCCTCTTCTGGATATTCACTGAACAAGACATAATATGTGAAAATTCTAACAGGCATAATTACTCATATCAAAGCTAGGCAAGGTAATTAAGTAGGAGGACAACCATGGGAAGGTTAGCCAAAGAGTCAGTCTCAGTCTCTCAGTCTCTCTCTCTCTCTCTCTTTCTCTCTCTCTCTCTCTCTCTCTCCCTCTCATGCACACAGTGTATCTATCCAGTATGACTCCTTTCATGCATTACAAGGTGAGGCTGATATGCACAGGTTTAATCAAGTTGAATATCTTCATAGGGGTTCACTCCAATTTGTGTTTTTAATGCCTTTGAAGAACCCCAAAATGTGCAAAGGATTTACACATATTAGTTATATTCATAGGGTTTTCTCCATGTATGTGATCGTTTATGCCTTTCAAGATGATAGTGGTATGTGAAGTCTTTACAGTACTGGTGAACTTGCTAACGTTTCTCTCCAGTATGTGTTCTTTTATAACTCTGAATATTACTTTTATGTGTAAAGGCTTTACCACACTGTTTACATTCATAGGGCTTCTCTGCAGTATGTGTTCTTTTATGACTATGAAGATAACTGCTCCACGCAAAGGCTTTACCACATTGTTTACATTCATAGGGCTTCTCTCCAGTCTGTGTTCTTTTATAATTCTGAAGATGAATGTTCTGTGAAAAGGCTTTACCACATTGTTTACATTCATAGGGCTTTTCTCCAGTATGTATTCTTTTATGATTCTGAAGATGAATGTTCTGTGCAAAGGCTTTACCACATTGTTTACATTCATAGGGCTTCTCTCCACTATGTGTTCTTTTATGATTCTGAAGAACACTGTTATGTGCAAAGGCTTTACCACACTGTTTACATTCATATGGTTTCTCTCCAGTATGTGTTCTTTTATGATTCTGAAGATGACTGTTCCGTGCAAAGGCTTTACCACATTGTTTACATTCATAGGGCTTCTCTCCAGTATGTGTTCTTTTATGATTCTGAAGAACACTGTTATGTGCAAAGGCTTTACCACACTGTTTACATTCATAGGGCTTCTCTCCAGTATGTGTTCTTTTATGATTCTGAAGAACACTGTTATGTGCAAAGGCTTTACCACACTGTTCACATTCATAGGGCTTCTCTCCAGTATGTGTTCTTTTATGATTCTGAAGAACACTGTTATGTACAAAGTCTTTACCAAATTGTTTACATTCATAGGGCTTCTCTCCAGTATGTGTTCTTTTAGGACTTTGCAGATGTCTGTGGCATGCAAAGGCTTCATCACGTGTGTTACAATCACAGGGTTTCTCTCCTGTGTTTCTTCTCCTATGCATTTCAAGACCACTCTCATATACAAAGGCTCCAGTAAGCATTCTTTTATGTATCTGAGGATGACTGTGACTTGAAAACACTTCATTACATTGGACAGTTTGATAGGTTTTCTCTCCAGTGTGAATTCTTTCTTCCCTTTGAAGATGCCTGTGACATACAAAATCTTGATCACTTTGCATATATTTAGAAATTTTATCTACAGTATAAATTCTTCCATGCCTGTGTATGTGATTGGCCCTTTTGGAAGTTTTACCCCATTTATTATATTACTGAATATTTTTATATGTATGAATCACTTTTACAGTGTTTTCTAAATGTAATGAGAAATCAGATATAACAGGGTTTCATCATTTTGTTTATGTCCATGGTGTTCTCCTTTATTATGGGTCCCATTACATCTTTAAGGATATCTGTTATTGTAAAAGTATTTATTTCATGGCTCACATTCATAGCAATCTTTTCTCATATGTTTTTTTAAAAAATATATTTAAGAAACCGTGAAAGAACTCACAGCTTTTAAACAATGACTGCAGCCAGGCAGTGATGGCGGATATCTTTAATCCCTGCACATGGAAGGCAGAGGCAGGTGGATTTCTGAGTTCAAGGCCAGCCTGGTCTACAGAGTGACTTCCAGGACAGCCAGGGCTATACAGAGAAATCCTGTATTGAAAAACTAAAAAAACAAAGAAAAGAAAAAGAAAAGAAAATCATATCAAGTTCAACAAATCTA